ATATCACAATGCATCACGAGTTACTGCTACCAAAAGGCAGTTCAAGTCTTCTGGCCACTGCTCTCTTTTGACTTAACAGTCTCCCGAGAAGTAAGTGTTACTAGGTTAATCGGCCAAAATTGGAACAGGACTATATTATTCACCATTGACAAAATCACATGCTCTCAATTTCAATGAGCAAAACGTATAAATTTTGTCAAAATAACTAGCCAGTTATAAGTTAACTTTCAGATATGGCTAAGATCCTTGCATTTTGATATGTGCTAAATTGCCCATACTTGCCTTTATGTGGCAAAAATATTTTCTTATATGCAAAACTAAATTATTTAAGCTCTAATGGCATATATATATATATATATATATATATATAAAGATGAAATGTGTGTTTGTTTGCACACTAACTCCTCAGAGCCTATTGGGCCAATCTCAACCAAAATTTCTATGTAAACACTATGAACTATGGGGAATGTTCTAGGGGGTCAAAATTGAACTTAACCCTATTTCTGTTTTGTAAAACCTGTTGAATCAATTTCAAACAATCTTGGGAGGTTGGTGCTTTAGACAACATTGAATATTCTACAGGGATTCAAGACCAAAGTATGAAAGATGCTGGATTATTTCTCAAACAATAATTCTTTTCTCATGGTCAATGAGATGTACGGTGTTCAAGGGTGGGATCACCTCAAAATCTTTATTTGTTGGTAGTTGGAAAGTAAGCTGCAGATGTTTTTTAAGAAGAAGCTTTGTTATAATTTTAAAATTTTGAGATAAAGTTTATATTAAAGTTATTACTTTGAAATATATGATTGCTGACAGACTTGCATTGTTTTAATTAAGTTTAAGTATTCCCCTTCAGTTGGTGGGTATTTCAGCTTGTGTTTTATAAAGTTGAGTTGAGTTTGTTAATTAGATAGAATGTGGACAAATAATTGAAATCCTTCCCATTGTATGCATTTCATACTCAAATGCTGTGATTAAAAATTTAGCATTCATATGTATCATATTTTATATGTTTCATACAAAGTTGCTGTAGACAATAACTAAAAGTGATAGGAAAGTTAATGTCTTAGCAAAGTTTTGCAAAACAAAATGCCAAATACTAAGTGTATTTTTAAAACTACAAAAGGTGAGAAACTATAGAAGAAATAGGTGTTCCAAAACTAATCACATAAATATATATGCATGTGTAAGACAATTTAGTTCTTAAGATCAGTACTTCAAACTTTAGATTTGGTAATTTGTTACATTTTTCATAGTTTAAAGACACAGAGTATTTGTTTCTCATATTTCAGTGACACATTTTTTTGTTGTTGTTTATGAAATTTGTGTTTTAAGAGTTGTTAAAAATGATAATTTGTCAGCACAGAATTAACCCTTTTGAGACGGGTCACTGGTGAAAGGCAATTTCATCTCGTTTGTTGACTGACATTCAAAATTTTATTGAACTACTATTTCATGAACTTGTGTCAATAAGTTTGGTATCAAACTGTAGATTATAATTCAAATTTTAGAACTATACATTACTTAATTTGTTAATTTAAAAGTGAATATTAAAAAAAACACAGATATACATTGATTTTAGTGTGTCACGTCATATGTTGAATGCAGCACTGGTTCAAGTTAGATGTTTGTGAAGTCAAAATACTAATTCTATAGTTTTGTACGAATTAGAAACTCAAATTACCGATATTAACAAACTAGAATATAAAATAAGAATGTCTTATCTTTTCTATTTTCTAAGATATTGCTTATGTAATAAAACAAACACAGTGGTACCCTGCCCACCTCTTTCCATTTTTGGAAATGATCCCTTATATACACTTACTTCTATATATGATATGAATAACTAGGCAGAAGCTCAGAATGTTCCCCTAGTGGCTTTCTCAGCCATTTTATATTCTTAGGATGCCATTTCTTCCTTTTGAACCAAGATTTCAAGGAGGTAGGTTGTGTCTTTAGTCTGCTCAAAATTTCATATTTTTTAGACTAAATACATCGTAATTACTAAGCTTGATAAATTATAGTAGAATTCTGTGGTATTAATGTAGTAATTTATGATTTTTTAGTCATTCAAATGTATATATAAAACCTAAAAAAATTAT